CTTCGGGTCCCGCTTCTGGATCAGGTAAGAAGTTGGGCCCTATGCGTTCTGAAACGTCAGTGTTGACTGGTTGGGGTGTTACGTAACCGTTGTCGGCGAGATCTTAGTAGACTTCAGCGTTGATGCTTTCGCGGGGGTTGTCTTCGTCCATCGGGATGTCAATTGAATAGTAAGGCAGTGGTCCGGCTTGTTCCGGTTGGGGTGGTCTGCTGCTATTGCTTCCTTCGTGTGGACGTCTTAAATCTCTCACGCGTTGTAGTGTTTTTTCGGTGCCCAGGTGTAGTCCCCACTGTGCGCGTTGTGAAAATCTTCCTACTCGTGCTGTATGTGGTCGGTACTGTACCATGCAGCCGAACACTCGTAACATTTTTGTGCTGCCCAATTTTCCTGTCCACAGCAGGTGCGGTGATGCGCTGTCGGGAAGCGTCGACGATGAAAGCAGGTTGTGCAGCATGACAGCGTGGTCCATCGCTTCGAGCCATTGGCTGTCAGGTAGCCGCATGCCACGTAGTAGCTTGCGCATGGTGGTCTGGAGAGTTCTGTTCATCCTTTCTGCCACGCCTTGCTGTTGATGGGCGTAGGGGAGAGAGATGAGTCGTTTGATGCCCCTTTCTGCCAAGTACTATTTGAACCGCTGTGACTGATATTCCCCTCCCCCGTCTGACTGGAAGCTTTTCAGCTTCACTCCTGATTCTCGTTCTGCTACTGGAAGCCAGGCGACGAAGGCTTCGAAGGCCATGTCGCGACTCGGAAGGTTGAGGTGCCAGACGTATCTGGTGGCGGCGTCGATGAAGGTGATGACGTAGTTGAAGGCTCCTTGTCCGCTTTCACGGGCGTATAAGATGTCGCTGTAGACTTTCTCCAGTGGTGCGTATGCTGGCGCATTGGGATTGTGATGAGACACGAACGGCTGGTGGGGTAGGTCTGCTTTAGGGCAGGTGAAGCATGTTCCTCTGACTCGTTGGAGTTCTCGTCCGTCTGGTAGTAGCAGTGAGTCTTTATCAAGAACTCCCGCTCTTATCGTGTTGTTGAGTGTTGTGTTACTGGGATGTCCCAACTTGTTGTGCCACATTGATTCGTTTGCCCTGTGCCCAGGTGATCTTCTGTATAGGTCTAAGTTGGAGTAGAAGCCGGCGACGGTGTTGACACTTCGGTGGTTGGCGCGTGGAACTGGGGTCAATTGCTGTGCTGGAGTTGGTTTCAACTGTGCTATTGAAGGAGCTGCGATAGGGAGGTTTGGTGATGGTGGTATTGTTTCCGCTGCTGTTGATGTCGTTGCCTCTGCTGCTGCCGATGTTGTTCCCTCTGATGCTGATGTTGTTGCCTCTGCTGGTGCCGATGTTGTTGCCGCTACTGCTGCCGATGTTGTTGCCTCTGCTGCTGCCGATGTTGTTGCCTCTGCTGCAGTGTTGAATGACGGCTAACGCTCGTGTGCGTTCTGTCTCAGGTATCGTGTGTGAGTACCAGAATCCTCCCAGGCTGAAGTCAGGATCAAGGTCTGGCGGGTGCGTCCAAGTTGTGAAGTTTACGATGCTGTCGCTGTCGGTAGTTCCTCGGTCGGGGACGAAATCAAGAACGAACGCATTATTTTTCAGCACTGCTTTTCCGACATAAAGGCCTCCTTTCCCGTGGTAGAGGTGGAATTCCTAAGCCGTGCTGTCTGCTTCGAGGTGGATTCCTTTTGCCATCAGTTGGTTGACGCTGAGTAAGTTGTATCCAAGTTCTTTTGCAGTTAGGACCTTGGACGTTTGCAGTATGACGTTGGTTTCCAGTGATTGCAGCTGAACTACTTCTTGTCTTCTTGTGCGCAAGTTCTGGTTGTTGGCGACGGTGATGACGACTTTGCGGTTGACTCGCTGCTCCCGTTGGATGAAGAGGTCTGAGGAACTCATGTGTTGCCCGCAGCAGCTGTCCAAGAACCATGTGTCTCGCCCAGAAGGTTCGTTTTGGGCGATGGCGGCGTACGTCGGGTTCGACTCCAATGACTCGCGGTGGGGAGTCCTTTCATTGAGCAGCTCTTCTCGTGAGTAGTGCGGTGGTGACTCTGTGACGCATGAGTCGTTGATTCCTGTCATGCCGCTCACGATGTTTCTTGTGCCTTGTGCAGGTTGTGTCGTTGATGTTGTTGAAGACTGCACTTGATTGGTGGGGTGTGCTTGTGTAGAGGCCACTTGACTGCTTGAAGGTCGAAGTTGTCGTTGCGGTGCCGTTGACTGTTGCAGGTTTGGACAGTGAGTGCGAGGGTGTCCTGACGTCTTGCAGAGATGACAGAAAGGTGGTACGTGTCGTTGTACTTGATTCTTGTTGTGTCGGTTGTTGTTGTTGTAGCACCGTTGAGTGTGAAACGCGAACTCTGGTGCTGATGCTCTTTTCTTGTGACGTTCTTCGTGCAGGTCCATATACTGCTGTTCAGCATGAATTTTGGCGCAGAGTGCAGCTTCGGAGATCTTCCCGTGAGCTCGGAGAATAGCTCGGGTGGAGCGCCAATGAGGGCCGAGGCCAGTGATAACGACCGTGACGAAGGCTTCTTCGGAAATTGATCCACCGCATCGATTGAGTCTGTCGCGCAATCGGCGACATCGGCTGACATACACCATCCCCTTTTCCCCTGGTTTCATTTCGACTGTTGTCAGTTGTGCCATGAGACGGCTCTGGTTGACGCTGTCTGTTGCTTGATACAGGCTCTTTAGGTGGTTGTACGCGAGCTCAGCAGAGTTGCCGTATCCACGATAGGACCGGATGTTCTGTTGCTCGTTTGGCGTTATGTTTCGCAGAAGAATTGTATATTGTTGCTTGTCGTACTGTGTTCCCTGTGTTGGATATGGCAGGGACCCATCAAAGAATCCGAGAATTGCGCTCCCTCCATCATCAGCTCAAACTCGAATGACCAGGTATAGAAGTCCTTGCCGTCGAATGGTGTTGATGTTTGCAGTTTCAAGACGTGCGTGAATTGCGACTGTATCTGAATCGCGTCTAGTGTCTTCTCTTGTCCAGGTGCAAGCTGATTCGACACGAAGCTGATAGAGCCACGTTGAGGCTCGTACGGCGCAAATGTGGGTTGTTGTTGGTTTCCCCGTGCGTATGATGAACCGTCGAGGCTCATGGGGGTAACTCCATTGTTGTTGTTGTTGCTTGACTGCGCAGGTGCTCCTTGCTGATGCTGTTCGTAGAAGGACATGAAGGAGAAGAATTTCTCCATCATGCTTGGGTCGAAGCCGGGTGGTGTGTTCGCGGGTGCCTCAGTGGATCCTGCCGTGGGTCCTTGGGTGGTTCCTACTTCAGTCTGAAGTCCAGATACTGGTGGTGGGGTAGGGGTAGTACCAGGAGAACCAGTAGACGATCTTCTCTCCTTTTGTGTAGCCATGTCCCTTGTCTGTAATACTAAGTTTTATGAGGAGTTGAGGAGTTGAGCTTGGCCCCCTCGGAGCTCTTATACCATGTTGGGCTGAGAAAAAGCCCTTAGGATCTTTGTAGGCCTAAGCTCAGGTTGATGAAAGTGTTGTAGCGGAAGCGTTTAATGATAAGTCCTTGAACCACCTTGCACTGGTTTGTGAGAACAAGATGTGTTGAATAAAGCAAAGAGATACAGGCTTTTATATGATTACAAGAGAATACGAAAGGTTTAACTGCTATTTGTAACTGTAACTTCTGCTGTTGCGGCTCGATACAGTGACGACTCGGGCAACTGCTCAATAGCGAGTCAGTTGTGTGTCCTTGCTGTCGCGCTGTATTTGGTGAGTCAAAGGTCACTGACCTTTGACCTTCGCTCAACCTCCAGCTGTTGCATTTTGTCAACCTCCTCGGTTGACTCGCTGTTGTCTTGCTGTAATTCGGTTCGCTTATGACTCAGTGTTTCGACACATCAGAAGCGTGAACTATATGTTTCCAACAACAATTAGATAGCAACACGAGGTTTCCAGTGAATTTGGGAGATTCTAACAAAAAAAACATGCTTTTTATCCAAGTATGCTGATTAATCAGCCCAGCTGGTCCAAAGTGAATATGCGAGCTTAATCCTACAACCAGGAGATTATGTCAATGCAAAACAAACCATGTCAAACCTCACATTTTCCGGCCTTGATCTTCACTTGGTCTGGAATACACACTCTGGTCGCTTTGACGAGTTTATCGATGCAATCGTACCCGTTGGTTCGCTTGTAACACCCTTTGATTCCACGGAAGTACTTGACCTGTAGGCCGGTGCAGCGATCGCCGGTCCCAACCACGTACACGCGACTCTTGGGGCACACTCCTTGCGTGAAGCTGAAGGAGCTGCCTATGCACGCCTGCGTAGGTAGATCGATAGATAGGTAAGTGGGTGGGTGGTGGGTAAGTTGGTGGGTATGAAGGTAAGTAGGTGGGTGGGTAAGAAGGTGGGTCGGTAGGTAGCTAGGTAGGTAGGTAGGTAGGTAGGTAGGTAGGTAGGTAGGTAGGTAGGTAGGTAGGTAGGTAGGTAGGTAGATTGGTAGCTAGGTAGGTAGGTAGGTGGGTAGGTAGGTATGTAGGGAGGTAGGTAGGTAAGTATGTAGGTAGGTAAAGAGGCAGCCAGGCAGGTATGTGGGTAGGCAGGTAGGTAAGTTGGTTGTTAGGTACGTGGGCAGTTGGTGAGGTAGGTGAGTGGGTAGGTAGGCAGGTGGGTGGGTAGGTAGGAAGGAGGTAGGTAGGTAAGCTGGTATGTAGGTAGGTAAGTGGGTGGGTAAGACGTGGGGCAAATAGGTGGGAAGGTAAATGGGTAGGTGTGAAGGTAAGTGGGTAGGCGCGTAGGCAGGTGGGTAGGAAGGCAGGTAGGTGGAAAGGTAGGTGGGGCAGGTAGCTGCCATGCACGACGGCCGGGAAAATGAGGGGAGGGAGGCTAAAGGAGCCGGCTGTGTATGGATGCTGAATGAGAGGTGGCTAGACAATGTAGCACAGTCACATATGTTGGACTGGAGACATGGGCTGGAGACATGGGCTGGAGGTGTGAAGAACTGTGAAACGGAATGATGAAACGAAATGGTGAACTAGATGTCAGCACCCCTTTCTTTTCTGTATAGTTGTGTCTCTCCAACCAAGAGTCTGGAAAGAGAAAGAGAGCACACCTCGAAGCCTGTGAGGCTGCCGACGTCAGTCTTGGGCACGAGGCGGCTGCACTTGATGCCGGGATTCAGGCGGAAGAACTCAATTGGGGAGAGCGGCGGGGAGGGCGCAGAGCGAATCTGCTCGCACGTCTCCCCCGCCTGCACCAGATAGAACTGCGAGCACACCGGGATGAGCAGCGCCGCTGCGCTCTCCGCCCGCCGCTCCACACACACCGCCTGGCTGGGCGGCAGCTGCCCGCTGCTGCTGGCGCCGCCGGAGCAGTCGAGTCCGGGGTTGAGAGCCTGGAAAGCTGCTGCGCAGCGCGCGGTGGGAGTAGGGCAGCCGGTGGTGAGGGAGAAGTAGGTGGCTAGCGATTCACATGTGTCACCCTGGGGGGATGGGAGCGAGAAGGGGGAGGGGGGAGGGTGAGAACGGGGCAGGAGAGGGAAGGATGAGTGGCGACGAGAGGGTGGGGAACAGAGGGAAGGGCGAGCAGGGAGCAGAGGAAGGGATGGAGGAACACACTGGTGTGAGGATTGGGAGTGGTCATGGATTTGGACGACGGGATTGTACAAATGAGGGGTCGGTGTGGGAAAAAGGGAAGGAGGGAGGGACGGACGGAGGGAAACAGGCAAACAAACGGGAAGAGATAAGAGGGGGCGGACCTCGGAGGTGGTGTAGTAGACGGAGCAGGGCGTGAGGCTGGGTGGCTGGACCACGTTCACCACCGTGCCGACCGCAAGAGGAGCGCTGCAGCTCAGACCCTGGAGGGAAGGAGCGGAGAGGAAGGGTGTGGGAAGGAGGGGGGACTCTTGAGTTGCATGAAAGGGGAAGAAAGAGAAGAAAGCTTGGACTCAAATTTTTTTGGGCGGTGGGGAGGGGATATGGGGGAGAGAACCAGGAAAACAAGACGTGGTGAGGGGTGGGTGAAAGTCAGACGTTCACAGATTAAGAAGAGCCTTGCTAAGAGTGTGAAGAGGCAATGGGCAATCAGAGGCTTCGCGGGAATGCAACGAGGAGCAGAGGCCTCGTGGCTCACCGTGCTCTGGACTTGGAAGTGGCCTCACCGGCTTCGAGACTGGGGCTGCTGCTAGCAGCAGGTTCAAAGGAGCAAGCCGATCTGAGCAGGGTTTTGGAACTCTGTTTCATCATAGAGCCTCACTGTGTGAGGAAAGCAAGTCCTCTCTGGACTCTGTGCTAGTAGTTGCCAACCGTGCTCATCGGGCTCTGGTGTGGAACTGGGCGAGGGTGATGCTATACACGGGGTGGACTTTTGTGCCGCCTCAAAAGCCGCCAACTGGGCTCACCGGATTCTGAACTTGGAATTGAGAGAGAGTGTGCCCCTACACGACTCTGTTGAGTTGTCTCAAAACACGGCTCACCGGATTCTGGTCTTGGAGCTGAGTAAGGGTGAGCCCGTACACAGGGTGGATGTCTGCACACATGAGCCCCTCCATCACCACCCTGTACTTGCTGCTGGTGTCACCTGTGCAGTGCGGTGCAGAGTGGTGCAGAGTAGTGCAGATGGGTGTTGGCCGGTGCGGATGGATACAGTTGTATGGATTAAGAGATAATGGAGGTGGGCGGGGAGTGGTAGTTATGATGATGGATGGGTTTTTGGTGGTACCATAGCATGAATACGAGAGCAGCAGCAAGTTAAATCAAGCATGTCCTTAAGGTGCCTCAATGAAAGCTTGGCGGTTGCATAGCGCAGCATTGCAATGTAGAAGGCTACGATTTGTGGTAGCATACTGTGAGTACGAGTGGGGAAAAGTGGATGCTGGAATGAGAGGCATCTGGAGCAGAAGAGAGGGAGGTTACCAGGAGCACAGGAGAAAGTGCCATCGACGGTGGTGCCCTGCCTGAAGCCTGGAGGGCACACACACGAGTACGACCCCTTGCCATCATTCACACACGTGCCCACTGCACATGGATTGCGCACCGCTGCCCTGCACGCGTCCTCTGGGGCAAATGAGAGAGGTATTGGAGACAGCTAGAAGAGGTATTGTAGAAAGCTAATATGAGCATGCTATGAGGTGACTGAAAGATGGTGGCTGATGCATGTCGAACACTTGCCCTGGTGAGGAGCTCTCAATCTCCGCACCCACTGTGGGCAAGGCTCGAGGAAAGTGAGAAGGAAATGTGAGGCACAGATTTGCTAAGTCAGATGGCAACTATGTTTATCCTGTCCAAACCATGAGTGATAGTACAGTTGGCAGGATGGACACGCATGTGGAAAAAGACCCAAAGCAAAAGCGGTACTCATGGTCAAAAAGCAGTAGAGCTCAAGACAAGAGGGTAGAAGCACCCAAGACAGCAAGCAGCCATATCTCATAAACTCATCATAGAGAGCTCACTGTAAGCACATGTGCGTGAGCCATCAAGATTGCGAGCCTCCACGTATCGCGGGTCGTTGCAATCGCAGCGGTTGCTGCTCCCATCGGGCTCAACAGTGCACTTGAAGCTGCCACACGGGTTGAACAACGGCCCAAACGCCTCACTGCTCTTCCCGTCCACGTTGCACGGGTCAGCAGCAGTGCGCACCACTGGGTAGATCCCAGGTAGGGTGTTGATCCCACACACGCCGTCACCCCCCTGGATGTCCATCCGCATGTGCCCGCCGTCGCCCCACTGCGGGCCCCATGAGTTGCGGATGATCCAGAAGGGCGGCGCCATGTGTGGGAACGTGGGGTCGGAGCCAGTGAGGCGGTAGCCCACCAGCAGCACCACGTGGTTCAGGTTGTACGTGAAGCAATCTGGGTCCGCGTACTTGGATAGCTGGGCGGGAGGCAAGAAGGGGAATGAGTGAGAGGGGGGCAGCATGGGGGTTTATCTCATTGACCAACCCTTCGTTACCCCGTTATCTTCGAGCAAGGCTCGAGTGAGGGCATGCGTGCGTGTGTGTGTGCGTGTGTGTGTGTGTGTGTGTGTGTGTGTGTGTGTGTGCAAACGTGCATCTTGTGTGCACGAGCATGAATGGACCGAACACATTATGGTGAAGGAGGAGCAAACGTTCATCTACCTCCGTGAGCACTCATGCTCACCCCATCGTGGTTGAGGAAGGAGGGAGCGGCAATCTTGCTTTATTTGCGTGTGTGTTGGGGGGAGTGGACTCACCCCATCATGGTTGAGGAAGGAGGGAGCGGTGGCCTGCACGTGCACCACCACAGGCTGGCGCTGCACGGCCAGCAGCAGCCCAAACCAGCCGTGGAATGCCGTGCGCTCAAACCCGTTCACCCTGTACGGACCCCCCGATGCTTTTGTCTGCCATGAGGGGGACGGGGAGGATAGGTAGTAGAGGAGGGGTACGGCAGGATGGACAGGGGAGGGGGGATAGGGGAGGAGGGGTAGGGGAGGAGGAATAGGTCAAGAAGGGTAGGGAAGGAAGGGTAGGGAACGGGGATTATGGGAGGTGGGGACAGGAAGGTGGGAAGGGGATTGTACAACACAGAAGGGGGAGCACTATCGCACGCACCCTTTGAACAAACAGCTATGTTGAATTCTGAGAATCTGCAAAAGTAAACTCAACACTATCGGGCAAGAATGTCGCACCCTTTGAATGAAGAGCCCCAATCATGGTGTGAATGAGCTGTCCGGCACCACCACCTCACTACCACACATGAATAGGTATAAAAAAATTGGCCGACCTAAAAATACGGAAACCAAGATAAGAAACATAACCTACCGATCCAGGGGTCCGGCCTCCACTGCACGAGATTCCAAAAAACTTCGCAAGTTGAGCCAAGACAGGCATGCTGCACAGCGGGCTCGTGCTGCCGCTGCCCTCCTTCCTGCCCCCGCCCCCTCTCACCACCACCGCCCCGGCCTTCCCTTCTTCCACCAGCCCAACACTGGCCTTGGCGTTGAGTGTGATGAGATACTGGAAGGCTTGGGCGGGGGAGTTGCCCTGCGAGCATGAGGAGCCGAGGGCTTCACGCAGCTGGGTGACGGAGAGGAGTGGCACTTGGGCGAGGTTGGTGAGAATGCCGTAAGCCATTTCCACGCTTCCCACCACGGCATATGCCCAGCAGTCGCCTGGGGAGGGGGAGGGGTTGAGGGAGTGGGGGGGGAAGAGGTTGACGGAAAAATAGAGGGCGAAGAGACAAGAGAGGGCAAAGAGAGACAAGTCCTATGCTGACCAGCATGGTGTATGCTGCAGGCTGCTTCTGTGCTGCCCAGCACCACATACGCCCAGCAGCTACTTGGGATGAAGGGAGGGAAGAGGCCACGAGGGAAGAGGAAGGGGAAGGGGGAAGGGGAGAATGGGAAGGGAAAACATGGAACAAATGCTACACAGACCTTCTTACCAGCCAAAAAAAACATCCCCATACTGTGCCCCCCCGCCCCACCCCCCTCTTCTCCCTCATTTGCCTGCGGGATCCAGTCTGTTCCGATCCCATCCCACTACATCCCCATTCCCATCCCCATCTCCATCCCATCTTCTTCCATCCCGATCCAGTCCCTCACACCTCAACCCATCCCATCCCATCCCATCCCACCCCACCACGCACCCCATCCCTTTGAGCACACGCTCACCACAGGCGCCTTGATTCTTGATAGGCCACGGCAGTCCCAGGTCCGCCCAGGAGAATGCCTGGCTCACAACCCACACCTCCTCCTCCTCCCCTTCCCCTCCTGCTCCTGCTCCTGCCCCTCCTGCGCCTGGCGCCCCCAGAGGCTGCACGCCCGCACTGGCATATCGGAAGAAGGGGTTTGCACCCACTGGGGACAGTGACGCCTCGCTGAATTGGAACCCGAACCTCTGGCCTGTAGGGAGGAGGAAGGGCGGGGTTGGGTAGAGTAGAGAGGGGGGGGGTAGGGTAGGGAGGATGGAAGGAGGGGTTTGCTCCCACTGGGGACAGTGACGCCTCGCTAAATTGGAACCCAAATCTTTGGCCTAGTTGGGTAGAGGCAATATTATTGGAATGCCAACCAGCTTGCAAGCTAGGTTTCAAGGCGTGTGAGGGTTGGTGCCCAACCAACTCCAAACAAGGCCGTGGTTGTACACTCAAGATGAATGCTAGTGTCTGTACGTACCTAAAATGCTACCATGCAGGCTAATAGACTAGAAGGAATATAAATATGCAGTGGTGAGATCGTGCAATGAAACTACCAAGACTGGGGCGAGAGTTGAGCAAATGGGGGGAATTGGAAGGAAGAACATTTAAGAACTTTAAGGGAAGGCTGCCAAGTCGGGCCAGTACAAGTCAAGCCAGTCATACCTGTGAGAGTTGTTGGCTGTGGCAGGCCTGGATAGAAGGGATGATGGAAAACGAGAGGAGGCAAAGGGAAAAACGGAGAAGAGACGTGAGGCAGGTAAAGGAATCAATAATAATAGAAATGTCACCCATTGATTGAGGGGAGATGTAACCAGTGATGGACATGTAACAAGTGATGAAAAAACATACAGCGAGGGACAGGTAGCTAGTGAAGGGCGTGTAATGTAAGGCTTAGGACATGTAACATGAAGTACGCCTAACGAGTGATGGGCATGTAACCGTTGATGGGCATGAAACCAGTGAAGAACATGTAACCAGTGAAGAACATGTAACCAGTGAAGGACATGTAACCAGTGAAGGACATGTAACCAGTGAAGGACATGTAACCAGTGAAGGACATGTAACCAGTGAAGGACATGTAACCAGTGAAGGACATGTAACCAGTTAAGGACATGCAACCAGTGAAGGACATGCAACCAGTGAAGGACATGCAACCAGTGAAGATCATGTAACCAGTGAAGGACATGTAACCAGTGAAGGACATCTAAGCAGGACAGCAAGGAGCAGCAGCAGCGACCTGCGTTGATGTTCCATGTGAGGATGGAGTGCTGCTGCGGAGAGTCCGAGGACGAGGCAGTGAAGCCCACGAGAAACGACGCCTCCTGCTTGCTGGGCTTCAGGTAGCGGCACAGCGACACCTGCACTGACAGCGTTGCCTTGCTCGGCCGGGGAGACGCGCTGGCGGAGAGAAACACTTGCAGCAATCCAGTACCATGGGGGGAACCAGAGGAGGAGGACGAAGAGGAGGAACGAGTGGGGTCGAAGATGACCCAGGCATGCTTTGGCTTGCCGTCGTTGAGAGTCACGGGTGCCTTGGCTGTTGCAATGGAGGTGGTTTTCCCGCTCACACGGAGGCCCACGTGGTTGCTGTCTGGATCATTGGCGTCAGTGTTCTTAGCTGTGTCAAACTCCACAGCAATGCTGCGCTCACCCATGCCTGCATACCCCAAGCTGCCGCCGCCACCACTGCCGTCGCTGCTGCCTGTGCTACCGCCCGTGACAGTGCCACTGGCTGCAATTACAAAGGCAAAACCGTCCCCTGTTTCTGCTGTGGCGCTTGCGGTGGCGGGTTTGAGAATGGTGAAGGAGAAGTAGATGGTGAAGGCGAATGGGCGGCCGCAGGTACCAGCTTTGAGGGAGAAGGAGAAGAGCTGGATGGGCAGTTGGAGAAACGCGGCGCCCCATGTGTTGGGCTGAAAGGCTGTGAGTGTGATGGTGCTGTCAGTCGCTACTGCCGCCCGCCCTTTGGCTGCTACCTGCGCTGCTGTGGGCTGGATGTTTACTGGGTCACCTGGCACGCCTGGTGGAGGGGGAGAGTGTTAGCAGGGAGTGACTTTCGAGGAGCCTAAAAGACTGCCGCTTTCCCTTTGGCTGCTATCTGGCACACCTTGCAGAGGGAGAGTGTGGAAGGAGGTGGGTGGGGGATTGGGAGGCAGATGTTGTGAGTGTGATGGTAGTGTTGGTGGCTACTGCCGCCCGTCCTTTGGCTGCTACCTGCGCTGCTGTGGGCTTGATATCAACTGGGTCTCCTGGCACACCTGGCAGAGGGAGAGTGTGGAAGAAGGTGAGGGGGGTTGGGAGGCAGAGGTTGTTGTGAGCATGTTGGTGCGGTCAGTGGCTACAGACGCCCGGCCTTTGGCTGCTATCTGCGCTGCTGTGGGCCTGATATCAACTGGGTCTCCTGGCACACCTGGCGGATGAGTAGGGAAAGGCCGCCCTTAGGCTGGATAAGAAGCCTCATTTGTAATTTCTCTTTTGCTTTACCCACGCTCACCAGGACAATGGATGCTGCTGGCGCCATGTGATGGGATAGCTTGTAGATAAGTTATGCTGTCGTTTAGAACCGCTGCCATTAGTTCTAATCAAACCAGGCTAAAATATATTTCGTATCTTGCAGCTATTGTTGTGCAGACATTGTAGAATTGTGTACAGGGTGTAGGAGCTTTACATTCACGCATAGGATAGGTGATATTGGTTGCTGGGCGGGTCAAAGGGGCACGCAGGGTGCCACATGTCAAGTTTAGTGAATGAAACAAGATGCTGTTGATTCATGACTTGCCATGTCCGCTTGGACCTCGCTTGTGACGCCCAAAGGTCATTTTTTAGAATTCTCAAAAATACGCTTGTGACGCCCAAAGGTCATTTTTGAGAATTCTCAAAAATACGCTTGTGACGCCCAAAGGTCATTTTTGAGAATTCTAAAAAATACGCTTGTGACGCCCAAAGGTCAGTCACTTCAATCCTCGCAGCCCTCACTCGCTCAGCACCCTCACTCGCCTCTCTCCACTCAATCGTTCCCATCATCTCCGTCACTCCCCTCTCCATCCCCCTTCCTGAACTCACTTCCCGCAGGAACGCAGCTTCCAGGAAACTCCCCGTTGACAAACCCGGAGTCGCAGTCACACGTGGGCACTCTGCTAGGCCCGTCCGCGTAGCACGAGCCATGCCCGCCGCACGGGAGATCGTCAGCACTCACGCCACAAAACGCAGCACAGAGCTCTTCAGGCCGTTGCACCGCTGCAGCCGCTGCAGAGGGCGTGGCTGGGGTGGGACAGGAGTAGCCTTCAGGGGGGGTTGCAAGGCAGTTGAAGCGGAAGGAGATGGTGCCTTGGGCGCAGTTGGGCGGGGAGGAGAAGCCTGAGGAGAAGTAGTTGAGGTCGAGGTTGTAGGAGGTGAGGGTTGCTGGGATGGGCTGCAGTATACGGCCTGTTAGCTGGTTGTTGCGTAGGTTGCTGCAAGGGACGTGGGGTTTGGAGGTCAGGGTGTACAACTAGGAATTACCCTACTGCAAAGGAGTGCAGGAGAGCATGACGCCTGAAAGGTGCCTTAAACAACTGCGAAACGAGCACACAACTGGGCTAGTGTGGATAGGAGAGAGGAATAGGTGGACGCACAGGAGAGTGGATGGGATGATGTGGGGGTGGATGCACAGGAGCGTGGATGGGATGATGTGGGGGCGGACGCACAGGAGGGTGGATGGGATGATGTGGGGGCGGACGCACAGGAGAGTGGATGGGATGATGTGGGGGCGGACGCACAGGAGAGTGAGGCGGACAAGGCCTGTGAGATGAGCGGGGATGGTTCCGTACAGACGGTTGTTGCTCAGGTCACTGCAGGGGGGGAGAAAGGAGGGAGAGAGAGAGAGAGAGAGAGAGAGAGAGAGAGAGAGAGAGAGAGAGAGGAGAGAGAGAGAGAGAGAGAGAGAGAGAGAGAGAGAGAGAGAGAGAGAGAGAGAGAGAGAGAGGATAAGAGCATAGGGATTCGAAGGGAGAATAAGTTAGAGGGGAACCTATTATCTACGTATGGTGTTTCGACATGTCTCAGAAATTGATGTGGCATTGACAAAGAGACACATTGGTTGGGAAGGGAGGGGAAAGCAGTCACTTTTTCCTACTAGTCTGAAACAATTTTCAAAGTGAACGCCACATCGCTGCCAATTATTGCTGGAGCGAGGGCACAAGCAGCAGCAACGTATTCTGGAAAATAGGAATAGGGAGTGATTTACAACCCTGTGAAGCGCGTGCATGACATTTACACCACGATTGCCAGGAAGATTTTGCTCAAGCTGCTCTTGGCTATTGAGGAGAAGTTTGAAATACCAACAAATCCAAGCTACCCTTGTCTCATTTCAAAAACCCCTTTGAGTAGAGCAAACTTCCACCAGCAAAAGTCTGAACACACTCCATCTCCTCACAGGCATTTGAGGCGCCTGGAAGTCAAGCTACACCTGAGAACAATCCACTCAGCAGAAAAAAATAAAACTTAAAGGGAAGAATTTTGTGTGTGCAGAATTGCCCAGCCAATGACCAGACTGCTGACATTGTGAGCAGAAAGCACTCACTCAGCATGAAGCGGACAGAGCAGAGAGCACTCACAGGGCTTTCAGCTTCAGCAGCCCTTTGATAAGCATGAAGCAGACGGTGTGGAGAGCAGTAGCATGGCTGGGAGCAGACAGAGCAGAGGACTCTCACAGGGCTTCCATCTTCAACAGCCCTCCGAGAAACATGGGCAGCGTGCCGGTGATCTTGTTGCAGCAGAGCTTGCTGAAGGGGGCAGCACGGGGCGGCAGAGAGAGGGGGCAGAGAACGAAGGGGCAGAGAACGAAGGGGCAGAGAACGAAGGGGCAGAGAACGAAGGGGCAGAGAACGAAGGGGCAGAGAACGAAGGGGCAGAGAACGAAGGGGCAGAGAACGAAGGGGCAGAGAACGAGGGGGCAGAGAACGAAGGGGCAGAGAACGAAGGGGCAGAGAACGAGGGGGCAGAGAACGAAGGGACAGAGAACGAAGGGGCAGAGAACGAAGGGGCAGAGAACGAAGGGGCAGAGAACGAAGGGGCAGAGAACGAAGGGGCAGAGAACGAGGGGGCAGAGAAAGAGAGCAGACACGTGGATGGGGTGGGTACTCGAGAGGGAGGTGGGAAGGGGAGTTGTGTGTTGAAGTTTGAAGGGCTACGGGCGAAGGGCTGAAGGGACGCCGTGGGATGGACGAACGGCAAGGACACAGCTGGAAAGAGAAGATGAGCGTGAGAAAGACAGAGAAAAAACATATGCTGAGGTGTAGAGAAGGAAAGCTGGGAAGTAGGGGTGATGGAAGAACTGGAAAAGGGATAAAGCGAGCAAGAAGGCAGAGGAGTTCGGGAGAAAGGGAAGATGCATATGGAGAATTGACAGAGGGTGTAGGATGGTGGAACACTGACATCGTTTCAAGCTTGGTGAGAGTGGAGTACTGCGAAGGTATGGAGCCTGCCAACTCATTGCCACTGAAATTACTGATGGGAGCAAGGAGGGAAAGGAGGAGGGAAGGGAGAGGGAGAGGGGGGGGGAAGGGAGGGGAGGAGGGCGAGGGGAAGGAAGGGGGGAGGAGGGGGAAGGAAGCGGGGAAAGAAGGGCGAAGGAAGAGCGGAAGAGAGGGGTGGAAGCTAGGATGAAGGGGGGGGGGGAGAGGGGGGGAGGGGGGGGGAGGAAGGGGGAACGGGAGTGATTGCAATGAGTGAGAAGAATTTCTGCCAAAAAATCGAAGGCAGTGGCCTCTGTATGTTATGTGCAAAGCACCCATTGCCCTTACTGCCAGAGTCACAGAAGCAGGGATGAGAGAGGGCAGAAAGAGTAAGCCGGAAGGAAGGCAGTAGGGGGAAGACGGAAGACGGGTGGGCGGTGTGGCACCTACATGGCCTTGAGGTGCTTAAAAGAGACTCTCAACCACTGACAGGGCCTTGAGGTGCTTAAGAGAGACTCTCAACCACTGACAGGGCCTTGAGGTGCTTAAGAGAGACTCTCAACCACTGACAGGGCCTTGAGGTGCTTAAGAGAGACTCTCAACCACTGACAGGGCCTTGAGCCGTTTGAAGAAACATTCATGAGGAAACCACTTACAGGGACTTGAGGGTGATTATCTCGCTCATGCTTATTGGGAGTGGCCCGGACAGGTCGTTTTTGCTCAGGTCACTGAGGGGAAGGGTTGGTTGACACACAAAGGATGGGTTGGGTCGGGTTAGATTGGGTTGGGTTGGGCTCAGTCCGGTTTGGTTGGTTAGTGATAAGCGTCAGAGCGTTAGCTAGGGAGGATGAAGTGGAGCGAGTGAAAGGCACTGTGAAGGGTGGGTATGCAGTGCAGCCTAAGGATAGACATTCAGTGTGGCGTGTGATGGTGAAGATATGAGAAGATACCAGCTGCTGCTTGGACTTGCCATTGTATGTCATCTGACATACCATGGTGCAGCATGGCATGGCAATGGCATGGGGTGGAATGACCGTAAGGATTTTTTAGTCGCTTCCAAAATGCCATGGCAGTGGCATGGGTTGGTACAACCGTATGGAAAGGCTGGCAAGAGCACACGTGGGAGGGCGTATGAGAGCAAGTAGCCATCGGGCGTACATGCTGGTGATTGCACCCAAGGCAGTGACGCTGTCAGGTATATCTCCTGACAGCTTGTTGTTACTCAGGTCCCTGCATGTGGTCGGTTACGGCATTGGTGCACAGACGAGGTCACAGGGCGATTGAAAAGGAGAAGCAGGAGCAAGTGTTACTGTGCATGTGTACAGTCATGCACATATGTCGTCAGGTGAGCATATGTGTGAGTTGGTTTTTGTGAATTCTCAAAAACCAGCTCGTGTGGTACAGCGGTGTGTGGGAGAGGCATATGCGTAGTGGAGAGTGGCATGGCATGGAACGACATACATGGGATGGCATGGCATGTCAAGAGTGTATCTTCTGTGACTGTACGATGTATGCAATGCACCGGAAAATTAAACATGGATACGGGCACCTGCAGCTTGCTTGCTTGCTTGCTTTCTTGTGTGTGTGCACGTTGGTTATGCATGCTTGGCTGGATGTAAGAGCTTTCATAGATCACTGAGTGTGCTGTCACGTTACTGATGGAAGCAAGGTGTGGAATGCACACAATAGGATGCACGGAATTGTATTCTTACAGCTTTTCCAGGTTGGTAATATGTGCAAGCACTCCAGCTGGAATGGAACCCGTGAGTACATTGTTGGAAAGAGAGCTGGAGGGAGCAGCAGAGGGAGTAGCAGAGAGACAGATAGACAGCGGGACAGAGGGAAAAGGGGACAGAGTGACAGAGGGGAAGAGGGAGACAGGGACAAAGGGACCGAGGGACACAGGGACAAAGGGACCGAGGGGCAGAGGGGCACAGGGACAAACGGAGAAATGGACAGCGAGACAGAAAACAGAAAATGATGGAGAGTCAGGGTGATAGATAGATTGTGGGATAGAGAGAAGAAACAGTGGAGTGAATGGCAGCAGTGCGGTCACTGGGCGGGGAGGGAGCACCGACAGTGAGGGGTCCACAGATGCAGGGAGTGCAGATGCGGGGAGTGCAGATGCGGGGAGTGCAGATGCGGGGAGTGCAGATGCAGGGAGTGCATATGAGGGGAGCCTACAGCGTCTTAAGGGCACGGAGGGTGCTGATGGATGGAGCGATTGAGTTGGTGAGACGGTTGAAGCTCAAATCCCTGAGGGGTGGATGTAGGAGAGGAGGCAGAGTGGAGAGATGGGGTGGTGGAGACATGTGGAAAAGAGAGGGAAAGGGGGATTTCGGAATTAAAAAAAAAGCGTTGAACTGGTTAATCAATGTCAGGCTGGCTGAAATCATGCCAGCAAACATGTAAGACCATACTGTGGACTGGCTGATATATTATGAATCCAGAGAAAATGATACAAGTCTGCCATGCCGGTGGTGCTTACGCTAATCATTTTTATTTTCTCAGTGGTAAGATTCGACTTGAATGTAGGTGCGCATAGAATGGCGTATGCAATGCTCAAGTGCCAAAGAAACTAAAGTGACATATGACCGTACTTGATGCGTTCCCAAACGGGCTAGGTTTGACCGATTTCCAGAAGACTTGTTTTGGTCCTGTTCAGCGTTGTGAGTGCGTGAACTAGTCCAATTAACGCCCCTGGCCCGTTCTTAGACTATGATCGAACAGTTTTTCGTTTATTTCAGAAATGGCTGAAAATGGTCAGGAGAGGCGACAAGGTCACAAAATGAGGGCAATGCCGGTGGTGAGGGAAACGTAATCGGCTCACAGGTTAGTGAGCTTGGTGAGGAGGGAGAGGGATGATGGCATGGACTCGGACAGCTGGTTGTGGCTGAGGTCTCTATGGCATGGGATGGAATGGTGTGGTGTGGCATGTCATGAAATGTGGAATTGCATCAAATGGGATAGCATAGCATGGCATCATATGGCATGGCATGGCATGGCACCACATCACATGGGATGGAATGGGAGCACATAGCATGGCATGGTAGGTAATCACATTGGTGAGAGGGAGGAGAGACGTGGAGTAAAGTACATGAAATATGCAACAAGCTTGCGGGTGGAGGTGGTATACATGGCATAAGCTTAAACTCCGTGGACAAAGGAGGAGAAGCAAGCAAGCGGGTCCTTAAACATTTACCGGTAACCCCCAACACATTTGTGAGAAATGGAGAGGCTATGATGTGCTGATGCTGTTACAGATAGAAGGGAAGGCTCGTAAAAACACATACAGCCATGTGGTAACCCATCCATCCCCACACCACACCACGAAGTCATGCTGCAACCATGACCATCCATCTCCACTTCATACGCACACGCAGTTGCTGCATTAAATTCCACCACACATGGTAATGCTGCACCCATTCCCACACAGGACACGTAGAGCATTCGAAGAAACTCCAGCACTCACAGGTTAGCAGCATTGGTGAGTTCGGCAATAAGCGGCTCTGGGATGGAGCCCGAGAGAAGGTTGGATGACAGGGCTCTGAAGGGAGTGGGGTTTGGTGCGGTAGTGAGGAGAGAGAGTAAGCATGTAAACAAATATTCGGTATTCGAGAACTATTTGATATTCGTTCGAATACCTGAATTCGAGAGAATAGGAGACGACCATGCATTCAAAATATTCGCATCACGAGCATTCGTGAATGTAGAATACTCTGGTAACGAATACTATTAGGTATTCTACCATTAACCCCCCTCATACTTTCCCTACATGCGGCTATCATCTTTGGCAGTCTGTGTACAAGAGGCTGCATGAGAGCCGCGCAAGAAAGTAAGCTGTAGAGGGGTTATGGATAGCATATGGTGCGGGACCGTGGTGTTGGTAGTATAAGGTACACTATATTACCCTGTGTCGAACATGCATTAGCCGTTCGACAGTGCCTGTAAAAACTTTGTTATTCGGCACGGCACTAATCATATTCGATTCGAATTCGGCAGTATACGAATCATATTCGTATCCGGTTTTGGTTCTGTATTCGGTAGAATAACAAACCACACAGTATTCGGAAGATGTCCTATTCGTTTTCGTTTTCGTTTTTACAGGCTTAAGTGAGGGAGTGGTAGGGAGAGTTGTGGGGTGGTTGGGAGGGTTGCGCGTGGTAGGGGGCGGTGAAACAGTATTGGATGGAATGGCGTGAGACGATATGGAGTGGATGGGGGTGTGTGAAAAGGACTGCGTTGGGATGGGATGAGTTGGTTCGGGATGGGACAACAATGGGAGGGCGATAGCTGGGAGATGCGGCTGTAGCCCAAAGGCAGTGAGCCCGTGTTTTGAGTCGACTCAAAGAACGACTGATTTTGATAGGGCGTGACACACGCTACTGCATGGTACTGACAGGGTGGAGAGCTGAGAGATGCGACTGTAGCCCAAAGGCAGCTTCGAGCCCGTGTTTTGAGTCGGCAGGGCGTGACACACGCTACTGCATGGTACTGACAGGGTGGAGAGCTGAGAGATGCGACTGTAGCCCAAAGGCAGCTTCGAGCCCGTGTTTTGAGTCGGCAGGGCGTGACACACGCTACTGCATGGTACTGACAGGGTGGAGAGCTGAGAGATGCGACTGTAGCCCAAAGGCAGCTTCGAGCCCGTGTTTTGAGTCGGCAGGGCGTGACACACGCTACTGCATGGTACTGACAGGGTGGAGAGCTGAGAGATGCGACTGTAGCCCAAAGGCAGCTTCGAGCCCGTGTTTTGAGTCGGCAGGGCGTGACACACGCTACTGCATGGTACTGACAGGGTGGAGAGCTGGGAGAGGCGGCTGTAGCCCAAAGGCAGCGAGCCCGTGAAGATGTTGTTGCTGAGATCCCTGGGGATGGGGGGCGAGGAATAGGGGGGTATGGGAGAGGGACGGCGGGGAGGGAGGAATGAGAGAAGAGGAAGGAGAGTGAGGAGAGTGAGGAGAGTTAGGAGAGGTAGAAGAGGGAGGAGAGGGAGGAGAGGGAGGAATGAGAGAAGAGTGAGAGTGAGGAGAGGGAGGAGAGGGAGGAGAGGGAGGAGAAAGGGATGAGAGGGAGGAGATGGAGGAGAGGGAGGAGAGGAAGGAGAGGGAGGATAGGGAGTGAGTGGCAGCGCAGTGCATACACTTAAGGCAAGGGGGGAGCAGATCGGAACATTTGAACAATCAAGAATGGGTAGGGGGAGATGTCATTGGAACCTTGGTATCTGTACGTGGGTTGGAGAAGAACTAACAGTTGGTATAAAAATCGATATAAGGGTTTAGAGGATCATGGGGTGGGAGGAGAGGGAATGGGGAAGGATTGAGGTGAGGGAGAGAGCGAGAGGTTGGGGGAACGAGTGAGGTTCGGGAGAGAGTGAGTGGTGGGGGCATCATGCCTGCCCGTCAACAATCAACGGCAAGGTGTTCATACATAGCCCGTCAGTAGCTCGCCAGTCCTTCTACCTTCTAGCTAGCAACCCAGCCTTGATTGTTATTGAGGAGGCTTAGCCAAACTTGTTCGGGTGTCCACGGCGTTACGCATGGGTCAATGAGGATTGGCCACCCAATAATGTGTGAAGTTCACCAGGACTAATTGGGGGTTCGATAATTGGTTGGATGCTCCAGCCATTATTGAGAGTCGAGACCTCTCGTCAAATGTGGTCAAAAGGGCTGGGATGAGAATACCCGCTAACCTCCCTTAGTCTCACCCCAACTAAGACTCCTTCCAAAACTCAAGCCAATACAGTACAAGGGACAGCACGGCATGGTTATATGCCTGTAAATACCCAACTTGTTTGCTGATGCCAATGCCACATTCCACTGCTGTGCTCTTTGAAGCAAGTATCCTTTCCTCATGCCGGCCCTCCATTCGAGAAGCAAGACAAGAGGAGAAGGTGAGGTGAGTGAGCGAGTAAGAGGTGGGGTAGGGGCATGCACGACGGTGGGACAAAACAAGACTAACAGGTGTGAGAGAGCAGTGGCGAGACTAAGGACGGTGGGCAGTGGCCCACTTATGTGGTTGGAGCTCAGATCCCTGCACGTGCAGAGCAGTAAGGGGTATATAAAACGGGGTAGGCAGACAGACATTTACGGGCAGAGGCAGGCCGGTTTCACGACAACATGGCGAATTAGAACTGAAGGTGGGGACTGGAAGAGACAACAACACAGGCGAGAAAAGGTAGAGAGGGAGTTTTGAGGCGTCTCAAAACACGATAGAACGTCGGAATGGAACTGATGGCAGGTGGGGAAAGGACCAGACAACAACGCAAGATAGAACAGACAGAGGGAAAAGGGATAACAACTACCATCCACTTAGAAACTCAAGTTAAGCACAAAGGATGAAGAATGAGAGGGATGAAGGTGGGAAAAGGAGGAAGCATGTTCTTTTTTCACGCAGTGTGTGCATGTGTGCTCGCACTCACAGCCTCCTGAGGTCTGTGAGGTCACCGAGAATGGGAGGGATATCGCCAGAGAGCTCGTTGGATGCAAGCATTCTGAATGGGGTTGGGGGGCAATGCCATGTGACTGACGTTTGAGTCAACTCAAAAGTCATTCAGTGTCGATTCAACAGTCACTCAGAGTCAACTCAAAAGTCATTCAGAGTCGACTCAAAAGTCATTCAGAATCGACTCAAAAGTCATTCAGAGTCGACTCAAAAGTCATTCAGAGTCGACTCAAAAGTCATTCAGAGTCGACTCAAAAGTCATTCAGAGTCGACTCAACAGTCATTCAGAGTCGACTCAAAAGTTGCCCGTTGGACTCAAACATCCGGAATGGGGTTGGGGCAACGGCATGTGATGCTGGTTGGTACGATGTGGTGTGTAATTTGGGTCACGGCGTTTTTCTGGTGTTGGCGGTAGTTATGGGGGCGGGCAAGCATAGTGAAAGCCAGGGTGGGATTGGAACTGAATGTCAGCGTGATGCCATGGAATAACGAAAGCTGAAGAAGCAGAACCGAGTCAGCAGATGCATGAATGGACTGAGCTGCAGAAAATGGATGGCGTCAAGAGGCGAGAGGAGTGCTGCAATGCAGTGCAGTGGTCCTCGTTGAGCTGTGGTCGGCTTGGCATGGCATGGGGCGTGGACTCCAGAGCATGGCATCACAACAGCGCGGCATGCACAGATAACCGCATTGCTCACAGATTTTGCAGTTTTCTTAGCCTTGAGAGGGAAGCGGGAATGGAGCCATCAAGACCATTGCCTGATATATCCCTGAAAGGATGAGGGGAGGGAGGGAGGGAGGGAGGGAGGGAGAGACGAGAGATATGAAGGGACAGAGGTATGAAGGGACAGCGGTATATAAAACGGAAGCTTTGACTGAATTCGAAATGAAGATAAACAAAATCAAGGGTTACTATCAACATAGAATTGTGGACGGGTGAGCAGGAAGGGAGGACGTAAGTGTTACACCCACCCAAGTGCTAGGTGTACACTTTGGTTTTGAAGACCCCAACCATTTGGTGGTGTTTCCAATCCAACCCCCCGGACCACAAGTGTTGAAGGGCCAACATTTGTCGGTCAACCCTGGCCCGCAAGTGTTGAAGGGCCAACATTTGTCGGTCAACCCTGGCCCGCAAGTGTTGAAGGGCCAACATTTGTCGGTCAACCCTGGCCCGCAAGTGTTGAAGGGCCAACATTTGTCGGTCAACCCTGGCCCGCAAGTGTTGAAGGGCCAACATTTGTCGGTCAACCCTGGCCCGCAAGTGTTGAAGGGCCAACATTTGTCGGTCAACCCTGGCCCGCAAGTGTTGAAGGGCCAACATTTGTCGGTCAACCCTGGCCCGCAAGTGTTGAAGGGCCAACATTTGTCGGTCAACCCTGGCCCGCAAGTGTTGAAGGGCCAACATTTGTCGGTCAACCCTGGCCCGCAAGTGTTGAAGGGCCAACATTTGTCGGTCAACCCTGGCCCGCAAGTGTTGAAGGGCCAACATTTGTCGGTCAACCCTGGCCCGCAAGTGTTGAAGGGCCAACATTTGTCGGTCAACCCTGGCCCGCAAGTGTTGAAGGGCCAACATTTGTCGGTCAACCCTGGCCCTGCCTGACCATAACTGGACCCCAGTGAATGTTGGTGAACACGTATATACTATAGCCCCCCCAGCCCCATTTAATGTTGTTGTTGGACCAATCCAATAATCAACCAGCAATGTTGAGGGGACCACAAGCTTGCTTAACCCGTTCTAGCTACTGAACTATGTATGTAATATATTGTGGTTTCTAATACATGCAGAGAAACAAAGGATGGGATATAATCTGGGTGGGTGGGTGCGGCCATGTGGGGGCGGAGGTGGGGGGGAAGGGGGGAAGAGGGAGGTAGAGGGTGTAGTGTAGCAACTTACATGGACATAGACGAACACGTTTCATAAAGAATGCAAGTTCTTACAGGGTAACTGCACCAGCAACATTGGAAATCCCATCAGGGAGAGACCCTTTGAGAACATTCCCAGACAGGTCCCTGGGAAGAAAGGGTCAGATGGGGGAGTGATTTGGAGCGGTGGGAAGGGGGGTTTGTTGTGAAATGGAGTGATTATGAATGGGAGAGTGAATGGGCAAGAAACCGAGAGAGAACATAAGAGGGATTGCTGAGAGATTGCGGAATGTTAGAGAGAACTATACTAGAGTTTTGCAATTAATGATGATCCTCCAGAACAAAGTTCCGCTTCAGGGCTACTAGGTTTGTTCCTGATATTTCTCCTAAATTGATCACATGCTACAGGTTTACTTGCAGTATTTAACCGAACTCTCTCTTTTAAGCATCTCCCGCTAGCTTCTCCTAAAGCCCGTTCTGCTGTAGAGAAATTTTTGCTTTCAGGTATGCGAGGTTCCTTTCCTGTTCGTTGTCTTCAACGGAGCACACGCTACAGGTTTGGTTGCATTTTCAACCGAACTGACTCTTTGATGTATACTGTCCGTTGGCTTCCTCTACCTTATCCTTGTCCAAGGTTTCTCACTTTCCCTAACTCCCATGGCTCTTAGTAGAGAGAATGACTTGGAGACGCACAAGTGTGTGAATGCTGTGTTGAGATTTGTTGGAACAGGAACGGACCCTTGAAAGGCACTGTTGGCCAAATTCCTGCAGCCCACGATACATGAGCACAGCACATGACACATGAGCACATGACACGACACATGAGCACATGCATACGGACAAGTAACATGCATACGAACATGCATACGCACATAGTCACACACGCACACAAATGCGCATGTGCATCCGGCATAACCACATGCTCAAGCCGAGGCGGCTCACTACAAGCAGAGATGAGTCACATGGGAGATGAGTCACACACGAATGAACGTTGAGCAGGGGAGCGGATCCGTCGAGCAAAAAAAACCGAGAAATAAGCAGGGAAGCTGAGCCGCTATGCAGGGAAAGCGGATCCAAGTAGGGGAACGCCGAGCCAACAAGCAGGGAAAGTTAAGCCGACAAGCAGGGAAAGCCAAGCTGACAAGCAGGGGAAGCCGTGTTGTTGAGTGATAAAGTTTTAGCCATCAAATATGGAGAGCCAAGCTGTTAAGCAGGGAAATACAAGCTGTTAATCAGTGAAAGCCGAGCCGTGAAGCAGGGAAAGCCGAGCCGTTAAGCAATAACATCTACATAGACAACATTGGACGTCATCGAGTGTCGTTAGGCAATGAAATCTTAGTTTTCAAGCAGGCCAGCTCATGGTGTTAGTGTTTGGCCCCAGCGTGTTACCAACTGGGTTAGAAGGGCATGTTCGTATGGTGGTAGGCAACACACCCATATACCCCCCCCCCTCGGCCAAACGAGTAGCCCTCTTACACACAACTGGGGAACGATCCTAGTGCCCCATCAACAATCGCCTCATCAGTGCGGTTGTCTCCCCTCATTTGGGGCTCTTTAGGGCATTGACGCTCACTAGGCGCACACTGGGACTCTAAACCGAGACCTTTGGCTCTGATACCACTTGATGGCACAACCGGCTACCGAGTGGGTTAAAAGGGCATGTTTGAATGGTGGGTAGCACACCCACAACTAGGGATGAGCAAAGAGCGAACACGAACGTGTTCGTGTTCGCCCCTACACGAACACATCCGTTTGCCGAACCGAACACTGTTCGGTTCGGCGAACACTTTGAGCAAAAACAGGTGTTCGCCATTCGCCTGTGAAGGCGTGTTCGGGCGAACCTCGAACACGTTCGTGTTCGTCATGGGGCAAATTGCAGCAGCGGCCCGAACACGAACGTGTTCGGGCGAACCTCGAACACTGTTCGGCGAACAATTTAAGCAAAAAAAACAAACCTGTTCGGTTCGCCTCGAACACGTTCGAGGCGAACCGAACAGGTGTTCGTTTTTCTGCTCATCCCTACCCACAACCCCCCAGGCCACACTTGTAGCCCTCCTACACCCAACTGGGGAACGATCCTAGTGCCCCACCACCAACAACACTGTCCAGCGGGTGAATCAACTGATCCAGGATGAGCCAGGAAAGGTTCACACAGCGTCGCCATGCGACACGAGCAGCATCAGCTAGTAGAGATCGAAACGAGCTGGTCCAGTCCAGCTCGCCCTCTATCACTGGCTGGTACTTCAGCATTCAACTGCCATGAGCAAAACTTTGCCGCCAGATCTGTGCGGGTGCAGATCCGTGAGGGTGCAGATCTGTGCAGGTGCAGATCTATGCAGGTGCAGCAGATCTGTGTGGGTGCGAATACAGCTTCCTGATTGCCACATATGGTGAGTTTTCTTGCGGATCTACATAGAATAACTTAAATCCTTCGAGACTCCTCAAAAGGGCATTGTCCTCAATACCCCTTTAATACCTTGAGGAGGAGGACGAGGTGCAGATTAACGAGACTTGAGCAGCAACTTATGCCGCAGGAGCATTTTTTCAACAGCTCAAAGATGGTCATTTAAGGCGCCCCAATCCAGAGGGAGACAGAGACAAAGTGGTGTGGCCGGTGGCCACTCACAGCGACTTGAGCAGCGGGTAGTCAATGAGGAACTGGGGGATGGAGAAAGAAAACTTGTTGTTGCTGAGATCACTGAAATGATTAGGACACGGCGCAGGGACGAGAGGTAGAGGCAGTGGCAGAGGCGTCAGGGGAAGGGACAGCAGCATGAGAAGAAGAGACAGCAGCATCAGAGACAGAGAGGGAGAGACTGGATGACAAGCAAGCAAGCACGTGGGTTACATGTGCAATAAGAAGACTGAACGTGATCTACACGGTGGCTTAAGATGATCTCTCACAGCAAGAGCAGGGACTTACAGTGCCTCGAGTTTAACGAGTGTGGAGAGATAGTCGAGAGGGTTGGTATAAAATGAATGATCTCCAGTGCCCGACAGGCCGCTGCCGGCAGTCAGCGAGTAGAACGGGGGGAGAGGCAGGGAGAATGAGTTTTGTGGTTGGACGGGATGGTGTTAGATCGGACGGGTTGGCATTGGACGGTGTGTGCTGAGGCCAGTGGCGTGGGTGCCGTGCAGTGTGGAAGGGATGGGGGGACAGCGAAGCACAAGCATCAGCAACGTGGTTTCGGGACAGGCATGAAAGAAGAGATCATGCTGCTGCCCAGGGCTGTGAGATGTGGCAGCGT